CTTTATCATCCTTGGAAGGAGGGAAGGTTAAGTCAACCTCAAGCCGGCTACCTGAGTCCAGGATTGAACTCAGATGGTGAGCAGAGTCTTCACTGCAGTATTGCAATTTAATCACTGTGCCATGAGGCTGTCAGGGCCACCAGGGCTTCTGTTTCCACTCCTATTTGGATAATGTCCCAATCTTCACAAATATTGACTCCAATGTACAATGGGGACAGTGCCACTATACTTTGGCTAGCTTGAGGGATAGCTTTGGTTTGGGGCGAACAGTAACATAAAAGATTTTTTTTCTGTGGAGAGGCTACAAAAATTCATTTCTTAAACCATAGAGTCTTGCAGTAGTTTTGAGCTTGGTTCCTAGGCCAAAGCACACTGCAAAATATATTTTCTGCCTATTTTGTTAAAAAGAAGAAGAAGAAGAAGAAGAGGTCAGACTTGCTTCATTGAAAAAAAAGAGTAAGGGGGAAGAGAGAGGTTCCACCTCATTTCCACTGGTGTCTGGCATATTTTAAGTGGGAGAGAATGAGAAACGTATAGCTGCCATTTAAATGTGCACTATGGGAATTCATTAGCATTCCATCTCTGCTTGAGATCCTACTAGCAGAAATCAAATAACTGCCAAGAAAAAGCCCCAAAACAAGTGCATGGGGTGGAGGTCATTCCATAATTCACTCTGAGGTACCTTTTTGAAAATGTATTTATAACCCTGTTTTAAAAATATTGTATACTTACGTAATTTATGAAAGGAGGAGCTTTCTGAAGGCCCAGCCAAACCTGAGAGGCATGCATGGGATTCCCACTGAACCTTACTCTAGATGTTAAATGGTCATGGCATATATTATGTATTGATTTAAAAGGAATTGAGTGGAGGGATTTAAATAAGATTGCAATGAAGAAAAAAACAAAATAAAAGTGTGGGGCAGGATGGTAACCGAAAGTTCATTATTAAGATCTGTGGTCAGAGATGCAAAACAATGTAAGAGTTTTGGAAAAAAGGGAAACTATTTTTAATATCTTCATTAGCTAAACTGTCTTCATTATGGCTTCATCTCTGTGGGCGTGAACGTAATTGTGATTGTATTTTCCAAAACTCCCAGGCACTGATGCAGTGTAAGCATAAAAAAGTCTTAAAATGAATGGTACTCTTTCTCCCATTATAAGAGTTGGGGTGGGTGCAGAAAATGGAGATGGCATATTTTATCACATACATATGACAGTGAAGGGCAGTATATAGGAATTCAGATTTAATGTCCAGTCCACCTGCAAAAATTTGTTATCAATTATTAATTGTTATAAATTATTGCCACTGGCATTAGACTTCTAACACAGAGAAGAGTTTTGAAGTGAGTTATGGCCTCACATGTTTCTTTGTACTTGAGCAAATGCCCGCCTTTTACTTTAAGAGTGTTTTAAGTGTTTTGTGGTTATTAGGGTAACCGTAAAAGCTAGAGTGGTAGAGTGTCAACCTAAGACGCAGAAGACCTAAGACTCAGAAGACCCTGCCCAACCATGGAAACCTATGGGTGATGGCCACAGCAACGGTAAACTACTTTACAAACATCTCACGTATCTTGAAAACCCTATGATGGTTGCAGTAAATCAAAAGTGACTAGGCAGCATATAACAACATGATACCCTTGTTTAAGACTATGGTTCCCATATACCCAGAATGCATACTTAAACTTTGAAGCTGATGAGAAAACCTTAACTACAAGGAAAACTGCCCAGGCTGAAATTTTTATTAATGTTGCTACTTAATTCACTGTTATGTGGAAGTGGTAATCTACTACCAAGAAAGTTGATTAGGACACAGAGCTCATATTACCCATTACTGTTACAGTAAAGTTCAAATGACCAAATCCTGGTTTATTAAGCTAGGTTATGCACAAACTCCATGCATCTATATTGAGCCCATTTGCTGCTGCCTTGGTTCCTCTCTTTGCATGAGCAAGTGAAAAAGTCAGGAAGCCACAGTTAAGTATAGCTAATGGCTTCTAAACAAGTTATGACCTGGAAGCGAATTGTGTTTTCTTGGAAGCATGTATGGAAAGAGAAACTACGGTTAATTTGCTGTTCATGTTGGAAAGCAAAAGTACAACTATGGCTGCTTATCCTGGCTTAGTATGCTCAGATATGATCACATAAATATGGATTGTCTGCACTATCCTCCTGAACATGGACCAATCCTATTCTGTCTCTCCTTCCCTCTGTCTAAAACATACACACTTGCAAGTTGGGACAAACTATGATACATTTTTCTGGAAACGAATCTTCAGAATGCTGCAATTTTGTGACAAGAAATAGCACTGGGAAGCTTAACCCTAGTTTTGTTGGATGTATCTGTACTCTGAATCCTGTCCAGAGGCTCCCTGCTGCTTCTCTACTCAGAACGAAATCCTTCCAAAAGCTGGTTTACTGGACATCGTTAAATATGTTTGCAAATAACATATAGGTTGCCTGTGCAACTAGAGTTTATTTTATAAACACATCAGATGTGTCAAAAATAAACAGACTGGAAGTTAATAGAGGCCATAATGGAAATACAATGTAATCTAACCAAATAAGGCTATTTCTTTTTGGTACGAATGAGGGAGATGACGATTTGCTGGTTCAGCTAGACTGATGACAAAATTCAACATATGTTCAGATTTGCATTCAAGCTTTGAAGTAAAGCCAAAAAACCCAATTCCTGTCCTTTCTTGGCTTGGATTCAACAGCCTTCTTTATCTTTGTTGGCTCATTCAGGGAACCAAGTCTGCCTGTTTACCTAAACATGTTTAATCATCTCACTTCATATAACTGCAGTTTGTGATAAACGTTTAGGTTTTTAGGTGACAGGCTACAACTTGATGTGAGACAGAACAGTCAGCAAATGTCATGCTAATACAACAGAAAGCTAGAATGTCACTGAATAAATTACAAAAAAATAATCTATATAATTCTTTGAAATGAAACATGTGTTTTTTATTCTTAAAATAAATCACAATGGATTAAACGCTCGCCAGGATTACACTTTCATATCTGGAAAGGGAAACTGTTCCATTACTTTGTAAAATGTCATGATGGACTACATAATGAAGAGGAAAACGCTTCTTCAATTCAATTTTTCAATTAAACTCAATCTTTGCAGATATAGGTAAACAGATAGTGAAAGCTTGGAAGAGTTCCTGTTTTTGACTGTAACTCCCAGAATCTCAGTAACCATACTGTCTGGAAGAGTTTGGTAGTTTTATTTTCCAAAAAAATATATAACTTTTTAAAGCTGCAGGATAGATCGACAGATAAGATGGAAAGTGGGCAAATACAAAGCCCTGTAGGCAGTGGACAGAGAAAATGTACATAAAGCAATGCGATCCTTGCCATCTTTTAGTCTATAGCTGGATTTAGATACTGCTTAAACAGTTACTTGTATACTCACTAGTTGTAGAGGGGAGTTTTTTCTATAATCAAATTATTTGAAAAACTAAATGAAAGAGCTGGGGTGGGTTGGGATTCAAGTCCTCTACGGCCAAGCTTACAAGGCAACTTAACAAGTTTTGTTTTTAAGCATGCCTAGGGAAATCTAGACATGGAACATTTATAAATATTTCTCTCCAAGGGTGGGAGTCCTCAAGTATTTTCCCAAAGAGTAAAATTATTTCCCCCTTCGTCCAGAAGCCTAAGCAGTTTTCTGGATGGCAACAAGCTGTACCTTCTTTTTAAAGAACATTTCAATTTATTGTGTTCAATCTGGATTGCAAAGGTACTTATGCTTTAGTTAAAAAGTTTAATTGAAAAATTGAAGAAGCATTTTTCCTTTTATTATGTAGTTCATCATGACATTTTACAAAGTAATGGAACAGCTTCCCTTTAAGTTTAAATGTGCCACATAGAAAAATGTCAGACCAAACAGTCTGACCTGCATACAGGGAAGTTTGGAAGTTCAGTTTTCCTTTCACATACCAACATTCATATGAGGGGGACGAAGAAGTGGAATGTGTGGTATCAACAGTGGTGTGGCAGTAAATTTTGAACATGTGCTCTTCGTGATATGTGTCATAGACATTCCCCAGGAGATCCACCCTAATACAGGCAGCAGTATTGATTTCTATTTTTAAAAGCCTTATTTCTAGCAGTTTCTTTCTATATCAGGAGCAGGTCTTTTGTAAAGGTAATGGCTCTTAATCACCATTCTAAAATACTTCGTGTAGCAACAAAGATAGCTCACAACTAACTGCTCTTACTGAGAAAATCTATTTCCCTCTAAATTACTGCAAGGATATCAACTAAGGTCTCAGAGGACAGGTAGCTAGGTTTGTTGCAGGGGGCAGCAGCAGATAACGCCATCATTCCTCATACCGTATTTTTCCATGTATAAAACGACACTTTTTCCTAAAATAATTAGAGGAAAATTGAGGGTCGTTTTATACATGGAAGGAGGCAGTCGTGCGTGCGTGCTTGGGCACCTCTTGCTGCTGCCACTGCCCAATTGCCTCTTGCAGAGCTCACACCTTGTTCCCTTCAGTGGCAGAGGCGGCAGCAGCAACAGGAGGCAGAGACGGAAGCAAAGGAGCATTCACATGCACTCGGGGGCCACTTCCTGCTGCTACTGCCACCAGATCACTTCCTCCAGTGACCATCTCCTCAGGGCACGGGACAAGGCAGAGCTGAGCCAGAGTTGAACCCCGGCAGTCGCACTGGAGGAGGTAACCGTCGGGCGAGGGAGGCAGCCATCAAGAGTTAAAATTAGGGGGTTGTTTTATACATTGGGAGAGAGAGGCAGCCATCAAGAGTCAAAATTAGGGAGTTGTTTTATACATTGGGGGGGGGTCGTATACATGGAACAATACAGTAATTAGAAAGTCCTAGTGCTCCCATTCCAGTAGCCCTCATCAGCATAGCCAATGGCCAGGAAACTTGCCAACAGATGTCTAAAACATCTGAAGAACATGAAGTTACATAATACATGTGCATACACAAGTGTAACATTCCACAACGTATTTTTGCTTGCATTTTCTCACCTTTAGAAATGTTGAGGCCCATAAACGAGATCGTATTTTCAAGGCAGCACTTTTCCCTCTTTCTAAGAGCCCCACGGAACAAGTGATCATTAAGCACTCCACATTTGTGCAATTCTGTGTAAGAAAGAATGGGAGACAATAATTATCCTTTAGCACCAAGATAACTACACAGGTAGCAAGAGATGTACATGTTAGAAAGGGTGTTTAGATTCTGGAATTTTGAATCTTAATAAGACTGAAATTGCATTTCTAACTCAAATGATCTTAATTTTTTAAAAAAGATCACCACATTATTTAAATGACAAGGGATGGTGCTGAATTGGTGGTTCATGGTTCTGTACTTATTTCCATACACCTCAAAACACATCAAAAAGATTCTAGTTTCCTCAGTACATGATAACAATGAAGAAGCTAAAATGTCTGCTGGCATCTTCATAAGGTTGTGCTTTCAATCAAACATGCATGCATGGATTGTCAAATTGGCCTGGGCTAGGACTACTGATGAGACTTGTGATGAAATTTATCAATTGTATAAGCAAACATAGGAACAAAGAGTCCAGTGACACCTTAAAGACTGACAGACATAGAGGACAGAAGAGAAAGAAAGGCAGGAAACAGCTGTACCAAACTTTACCAGTGACTTCAATACCAAAAAGAGAAGAGAAATCAAAATAGTGGGTTGGGGATACAGACTCTAACATCCTAAAGAGAAATTGTAATTGAACCAGAAGAGTGCAGGCATTTATATGTGCACACACAGGCATTCTCTCTCTCTCTCTCTTTCTCTCTCTCTGTCCTAGTAATGCAATTAATAAACTTTTTTAAAGTAAAAAAAGATATTACAATATTGGGTAGATTTTCTCAGTTTGCACTGCATTTTAAAAAGTATGCAGAATGGCTGATGCAAGCTGGTCTCTTCTCTTAGAAAGGCTAATCAGCACCTCAGAGTTTGGAGAGTCCACGAGACATCTGGGGCTTCATGGGGGCATCTCATCTATCCATTTTATTTGGCACCAGCTTAATTTTATTTCTCTTTTACTAAAAGGGATGGATCCTTGAGTCCAGCCCTTGTGCGCCATGTCTTTCTTATTTTTATTCATTTTTAGCCCCAAGAATGCTGGACTGAACATGACAGGCAGAGTGCCATGGTTGTGATGACCAGGAGATACTTGCATTATCTGATAGTTGCTACTGGACCACACAAGCACCCTAATTTGGTCTATAATTATACCTTAGTCCAGTGGTTCCCAACTTTGGGTAACCCAGGTGTTCTCGGACTGCAACTCCCAGAAACCCTGGCCAGCACAGCTGGTGGTAAGGGCTTCTGGGAGCTGCAGTCCTAGAACACCTGGGTTACTCAAGGTTGGGAACCACTACCAGTTACCCTCTCTCATCCTAACCTTCCACATATGATCGTTGTGAGGATAAAAATTAGGAAGAGGATCATGAATGTAACTTGGAGCTCCTCGCAGGAACCAGTTACCATCTCTCACCCTAACCTTCCACATATGATTGTTGTGAGGATAAAAATTAGGAAGAGGACCATGAATGTAACTTGGAGCTCCTCGCAGGAGACAGAGGTAATCAATGTAGCCAATAAAATAAATAACATCTCCGACACAGAACACAACACTCTAGGATTAGTATCTATAAAACTATATTCTGCATCATAGTATCTTTCTGTAGAATAGCATCTCACAAAACTAATTGGATGCAGATTTTACACTGCATGAATGGAAGTGCAAACCAAATAATACAATGTTAGATGAAACGTTCCTCCATTGCAACGAAATGAGAGGTTGTGTTTTTTTAAACTCCTGTGTACTTCCTCAACAGGAACTTGATTATATAGCACTTACTGCAAAGCAATGTTTGAGAGGATGTGTTTGTTTACCTTCCCCTATTTAATCATGTTTTAATCTGGCCAGATATGTTTATTCTTCTATCTCGTAGAAGCAAGTAGGGCATGTTTTCTTTTCAATGCATAATCACACTAGACCAAATAAGATTCAGATAATTAAAGACTCAAGATAATACTATTTTCCCCCACATGTATGTAATGTTCTTTAGAAAAGTTTTTCTGATGTTGGTGTTGCAGTAACTGAATAGACTCATGGGTAAGGCATGGATTGGAAAAGTTACTTTTTGGAGTACAAACAGCACAACATCTAGCCATTGGCCTTGTTGGAAGACATAGTCCAAAAAGTAACTTTCCATGCTCCTGGAATGAGTTATAAAATACAAATATTGCTCTATACTTACTAGGATGGTTTGGACTGCCCTCATGAGAAATGTTAAGCCAGATTTTGGAAGAGAAGGAGTTGGCATGAAACATGCTCTTCAGAGAGGATGGTGGGAGGAGAGCTTGTCAACAATTCTAACTAAGACTCACCAGATGTAAGTCTTCTGAATTCCAGCCACGAGTTGCAATCCATGATTCTATTGGAATACAAAGCTTGCTTGTGGGCAGGAAGCCAGAAATCATTCCTTTCTATGTTCAGAATGCTCCATGCACAAAAGGGAACTTATACACATAAGGATATTTCTCACTCAAGAGAGGTGCAGAGCTGGAAAAAGTTTATTTTTGGGATGACAGCTCCCCGAAACCCACAGCATGGCCATAGGGAGCTGTAGTTCAAAGAAGTAACTTTTCAAAGCTTGGATAATATGCTGGTCCCAAATCAGAACCCCAATATACATACTGGAACCAGTAGCACAAAGGGATGCTGAGATCTGGAAACATAAGAGAAAGTATACATTCTCATTCACCACTCCCCTACTTCTTCTCGGCTGCCCAAAAAGGCCAACTAAAATATGATTTGAGAACGACATCATACTAAATAGTGTTAAGATAATTCCAAATACAATAAGCTTGGATCAAGCTACCAAACGAAAGGTTTGCTGCTGTTTATTTTTAGAGTGTAAAATGCAGATCTTTCACACAGTTAGCTGTGGAGCTGATCAGATGCACTTGTTGAATTTCTATTGGCAACTCAAAAGACTAGTCATTTTGAAAGATAATTGTGAGGCACCACTTGGGATAATGTCCCTTATGACTGAATAAAAATCTTGTAAAAAGTGGGCTCTGTGGAATTTAAACTAATTTTAGTTTGGTCTTGGTGATTGGGAGAACAACCCAAGATCTCCAAGATTTGCAACTTGTAATTTGGTTATCTTAATTTTTTTAAATCAAATTGAAGGATTGGATCATTTCAGAATTTTCTCTTGCATTAAAAAGATCTGTATGCTATTGGGGGGAAAAACCAGGCACAGAGATGTGTATGCATAAATTCCACACAAAATCTAAGTTTATAGCTACATTGAGGGAAATGATCCAGGATTGGGATGATTTTATTTGCATGGTTTTCCATTGACTACATGATGTAAAAAATCCAAGTGAATAAGCTTGGATCCCATCTCCCAAATCTGTAGGGTTTTTTTCCTTCTGCTGCTGGGACTTTTACTTTTTTGAAATTGAAAGCATTTGTATCAATTCAGATTATTCATTTGGTAGAGCTGATGTGGAAAAGCCATTCCAGTTTGAATCCTCACCTCCCCACACCTGGTGCTTAGGTCTGCTTCTTTCCTTCTTTCTTTCTTTCTTTCTTTCTTTCTTTCTTTCTTTCTTTCTTTCTTTCCCTCCCTCCCTCCCTCCCTCTCTCCCTTCCCCCCTCTCTTTTAAAGCTATCCTAGTACTTGGGCAGTTTGGTGACCAAAGGAAGAGAAACACAGAAGTAACAGAGAGAGGAAGAAGTTTTAAGGTAGCTCTACAATAACCATGCCTCCTCCAGATCTGGACAGCCAGAGCAGTACTACCTTAAATTGTGCTCCTCTTTCTCTCTCATTCTCTCTCTGTGTGTGCCAACCCCTCACATTTTCCTCTTTCACCACCTAATTATCCTAGTGCTAGGACAGGAAGCCTTTTAAATAAATTTAGCTTTGAAAAAAGAAGTAGTAGGAAAAAAATGGAACTGGGAAACAAGCAGATCCAGGCAGCAGGTATGGGAAGAGGATGATTCAAATGGTTAACAAGCTGCAAACAAGGCTGATTTTCTCCCCACCCTCTGCTGAATCTGGTGGGGCTGAAGGTGAATTAACACTGGGAACTCTTAAACCAAAGCAGAACTACCCAATAATCTGAAGGGAACTATATGGAAACTTGGAGAAGCTCCTAACAGTGACAAAAGTACAAAAAGAAACTTTAGATAAGGAGTCTGGAGGGAAAGCAAATTCCAGAACTTCCCGATCAGGAGAAGAATGGACCACTGAGTCAGCTGGAATCGTAAACTGGGAGGAGGGAAAGAACTGGCAGTCTGGGTAGTTGGTGCAGCAGGGATAAGCTAAGATCGAGAAAGCAAGAAGCACAGCAGAGGTTAAGAAGGAAAGTGGAAGGGACTCCTTAATCCCTATTTTTTTCTCTTGCTCTCTATTGTTCTTTGCTCCACTTCTTTCCTTCTTTTTGTTCCTGTCCTAGGACAAAGAGAACCATTGTACTGCCTGGATATATACGTTCCTGGTTTATACAAGAGGGTATTTTGACATGTTCCAGGAGATGGAGGGGGGAGTTTCTGGCAAAACTTAGCGGAGTTCAAGATTTTAATGTAAACAGGATTGAGCAACAGCTCATCATATTGACACACACACACACACTTTATATTTTAAAACTAAAAACAATGAGTATACAAATCTGACTTCCATCATTAAAAGGCAATATGTCCAAGAAGACATAGAACAGTGGTTCCCAACTTTGGGTAACCCAGGTGTTCTTGTACTACAACTCTTAGAAACTTTGTGCAGCATAGCTGGTGATGAAGGTTTCTGGAAACTGCAGACTCGAAGGTGGAATTTTTCAAGCTAATGTCAAGACAAGGATAATGCAGATTCTACATTCTTAAGACTGCACCTGTAAGCTGACATTAACTCACCAGAATTCTTGCAGAGCTCTTTGGATGCTCTACTGTTTTGACTTCTCTGCGGCCAACGTAGTGCGGGATAGAGGAGTTGCGTAAAAAAGCAGCAAGTTCTGGTGTGTCCTCTGGGATAGCAAACTGCAAAGAGTAAGAAAAATGAGATGTAAATCTATCCCACAATTGCTCTAACAGATATATTGCTTTTAGACATTTTGGGATTGAAAGCAACTTCCCCCTCCCTGTTTTCATTTAGCATCTTTTCCTTGAGAGCTAATTTCTCTTCGAATAGCAGGAAGACTGATTACTGTCAAGAAAGATACAGTACTTATTAAAAAGACTAGTTGACATTTTGGGAGCCATTTGAATAACCCTTTGTAACCACGTTTTGTACTGATTAAACTTTTGGGGATAGAGTCTGTTCATCATTGTACAGGTGAAAATTTCACTTGTGTTTACTAATGCCCTGAAATCTTGTGGTTAATAACTTCATCGGCACCAGCAGTTTCTTCTTGCATGATGACTTGTTCAGGTTTTCTGGAAAACCGATTATTCAAACTATTGGTTTCTTGCCTTTGGAAAAACAGTTCCAAATACATCTTTTTTTGGAAGAATCTGTGGCTCTTTTTGCTAGCATCTGGGGGTTTGTTCCTAATTCCAAAGAATTTGTGGTTCTTCTTCCCAGATAGTATAGACTCACTGAACAAATGGAATTGACATGTGTATGGATTTAACAAATCCCATTCATTCAGTGAATCTACTCTAGCTGGGAATAACAGTTGGATATACCCTAAATTAAGACTCGAGTGTTTTTTTTGGTAGTTCCAACAGAATGTCAATTTGGAAAGAAACAGGAATATTTTCTCTCTCTCCTTGATTTCATAAGTAGAGTAAGGGATGTGGTGGCGCTGTGGGCTAAACCGCAGAAGCCTGTGCTGCAGGGTCAGAAGACTAAGCAGTCGTAAGATCGAATCCACGGGATGGAGTGAGCTCCCGTCGCTTGTCCCAGCTCCCACCAACCTAGCGGTTCGGAAGCATGTAAAAATGCGAGTAGATCAATAGGGACCACCTCGGTGGGAAGGTAACAGCCTTCCGTGTCTAAGTCGCACTGGCCATGTGACCACGGAAGATTGTCTTCAGACAAATGCTGGCTCTATGGCTTGGAAACGGGGATGAGCACCACCTCCTAGAGTCGGATACGACTGGACAAAAATTGTCAAGGGGAACCTTACTACCCAAAGGTCTCATTTCATAAGTAGAGTAACTGCATTTTTCTCCAAGGTGAGTCGAATTATGGTATATCAAAATGATAAAACAAATCATACTTTAATGCTTGCAAGAAAAGTGACATGATATTGCTTTATAAACTAATAATCTGGATAACAAGTCAGATGATAAATAATTTCGAATACATCTCATGTGATATATCAAGGCCTTAAAGATGGATATATCCCAGTCAAGAAAAAGAGATACAATTTGGATCATGGGCACCTTGTGGACCAGGACAAAGGGTCACCTCACCTGAACATTTCAGAAGAAGCACTCGCCCAACGTGGTCATAAGCTTTCACTACATTGGATATGGTGCTAAATGACGATAGCCTCCCACCAACTCTCTCTCCCCTTCTGGCATGACCATATCCCATACTACCACTGCTTGGTTAAGGATGGCATCACATATCCTTATATTCACTTCTCTTATAAATAGCATTCCAGGCTCTGAAACAATACTTGAAATATAATCATGTGGTGGCTGTTCATATCATACAGATTTCCAAGTGAGTTCTGCATTTTTATCATACAACTGCAAACTAGAAAAAGGTATATATATTTTTAAAAGTCTCTTGGAATGTTTAAATACAACTGTTATTATTTTAGCATGACCTTTTGTGTAGAATAATCTTCCTTAGATCCAACAATACAGACAATTTATTTTTATTTTATTTATTTTATATGCCGCCCACACTACCCAAAGGTCTCTGGGCTGCTTATAACAATTTAACTACAGTCAAAAAGATAAAACTATTAAAATACAATTAAAATATATAATCTACAAATTGCCATCAGGACCCACAATGTCATTGTACTCTCCATATCTGAGGAAGCAGATTGTAATCCATGAATAATAAATAACAATTATGTACAATCAAGTTAATTTTGATTTAGGGTGACCCTTTCCAGGGTTTTCTAGGTATTCAGAGGTGATTTAGCATTGCCTTCTTCTGGTGGCGTCCTGGGACCATGCAACTTACCCAAGGCTACACAGGATGACTCTTCTCCCAGGAGTTGCAGTGGGGAATGGAACCTCCAACCGCTGGCTCTGCAGCCAGATACCTAACTCACAAAGCAGTCTAGCCAGCTGTAATCCATGAAATCTCATGCTAAATCTGCTAGTCTTCAAGATGCCATGAGACTACTTTCTTTTCTCTTTCTTTTCTCTTTTGTTATGCAGAGACAGCTTGTTTTATGGGCAGTTGCTACACACTGTGGGTCTTGGATGATGAAAATCTAAAATGACTTCAGTAAGGAACTTATGAATGGGATAGCAATTAAAAGACTCCAACCCATTTTTTTAAAAAAACAGGCAGGTAGCTCACATGCTCCACTTTAAATTTCTTACCTTTATTCCTAAACTGTTGATTGCAGAGCTTGTCTGACATTGCAATGGTCCATGGGTCTGAATGTGAAGGATGTAAAGAAGGAACTCCTCCTTGCTCCGCATTGGCCATTCCACATACAACACTGTGTCATTGATAGCACTTGGCCCAATGTTGTGCAACTGTTGAGTCAATCGGCAAACTAAATTAGACCCAGAATGAAAGATTTCCCTTTTAACATAATAAAAGCTGAGCTTTTGTGGGTGGAGGTTGAGAAGATGAATGTGGTTGATGGGCTTGATTTTTGCTTATGCTTGCTTTCGCTGCTGTTTCTCCTGACCAACTTTTCCAGCCTTTCCCTTTTCACTTGACTATGTGTATTAGCAGCAACTAATCATGTTGCTAGTCTGGTCCATATGAAACAAATGATGCATGTGACTATTCAACCAAGATCCCTGATCCCAATACAAAGGATCACAACATTCCTTACTGATGCTTAAAGGTTTTGTATGTAGCCTTTATGGTATTAACCTCCAATCCGCTTATTCAATAGGTACTTCTGGACCTCTAAAACTGCCCCTCCAAGTTTAAGACTATTGTGGTCCTCATGCATGTATGTATGTTCAGCAAATGATAATCTAGCATCTTAAATTTGATTCCAAATTATGATAGGTATAGTGTTTCATGTGTTGAGACTTTTTCTAAAGACCTTAAAAACATTACCTTTCTTGGATAAGCTCTTAGCATCCCCTAGACAGCAGGGCTGCTTCTGAAGCTCTGAAAATTCTTAGCATACAATACATCATAGTACTTGCCTAGCAAGATGTAAGCTCAGAATTTTGTTTATGTGTTGACATCAACGTTTTCCCCTGAGGTTGCCCGTCCTGTTCTGCCTACTGGCTTGTAAACAGGAACCATATGTGAAGCATCCTGTTTCAGGCTCAAACAGGGGTTATCCATCAAATTCCAAAGACATTGCAAATTCATTGCATTCCACCTCCCCCTAAGTCCTTGTTTCAGTGGATTTTTAGGATGAAATAATGATAATAGGCTTGCAATTTAAAAACGTCCTATTCACTTCGCCGTTGGGGGATTTAATTTACTTCTAATTACATTTTATTGTAAATTCGTTTGATTTGTCTAGTTTGTTTGAGGAACAGAGTTCATTTTGGTGTATATCTAATTTCTAGCTCTAAATATTAAGGGAAACCCAATTCTTCATTTTAAAGGTTTCTTTGTATGTTTTTTTTTTACCTCGTATATATGTTCCACTAGAGGTCCAATGTCCTCTTCTTTGGTAGGTTCAGCCTTAGCTTGCCAGTTGGGAATTGGCAAAACAATTTGTGGAGGATCAGAGACGCTGGAATGTTTCACAAATGCAGCCATATGATATACAATGAATAACAAATGAAACCATTAGTTTGGAAAAAACTTTAGGCTACAGCATGCTGAAACTCTCAGCCATTATATGTATTTGGTGGCCATCCTGGTTGGGGGATTCTAAGAGTTGCAGTCTACAAAAATTATTGGAAAAGATAGATGTGCAGAATATCAAACCAGGGAGTGGCCACAAGAATATAGGAAATCATGCAATAGAATGTGCACATAGGTGCTTACTGCTCATATAGACTGCTCTTGAAAAAGAGACTGCAGTTAGATATTGAGTTTGTTCATAATACTAAACCAAGATTTATTGCGATATCCATTAACCTGATTCTGCCCTTCCCCTCCTTTCTTGTGGCCAGAAAGATACCTGATGAAGAATTTAGTTCCACTTTAAAGGAAAGATGGATTATTGCTACTTACAATCCAAAGACTGTGGTTTAAAAAGAGACTCTAGCTAGTTAAGCAAATTAGCTGGCCGGTCTACAACCTTAAATTAGTCTGTGTTTTACAGGCAAGTAAGAAACACAGTTTGTTATTTTGGATGAAGTTACAAAGCATGATTTACGGCAAACCAGGAAGAGAGGGAGGGAATTGTATGGAATTAGGAGAGGGGGAAGTGGTCCCAAAGATTCTTTAAGTCTCGTCCTTATAGCATCACATCGTTAAGGAATTGGGAGAGGGGGAAGTGGTCCCAAAGATTCTTTAAGTCTCATCCTTATAGCATCACATCGTGGTTTGCATTTATATTTGAATCAGTCTTGAGTTACAGAAGCATCCTTGTGAGAGCGGCTAAAGTTGTGTGAAGAAGCTGTGTGCACTTGGGCTTCACGTACCGTCGATGCAGTCTGAGCAGAGCTTGGAAAAGCTACTTATTTGGACTACAGTTTCTAAAATCCTCATCCAACATGGTTAACACCATGCTAGCTGAGAGATTCCGGAAGTTGTAGTAAAAAGAACCAGGTAACATCTCCAAGCTCTGGCTCTAGGTGCCGCTTATCACTTCCCCCACCAGATCGCACACAATATAACACCCTGTTAAAACAGCTCCCCTGGCTGCTGCTCTTTTTTCCAGGCACAATTCAAAGTGCTGGTTTAAACCTATAAAGCCCTAAACAGTATGGGCCCAAGCTAGCTCAAAGACCGCATCTCCCATTATAAACCTGCTTGGTTATTAAGATCATCGGGGAGGCCTTTTTTCTCAGTCCCACTACCTTCACGAGGGTGTTTGATTGGGACACAAGAGAGGGCCTTCTCTGTCACTGCTGTACGACTTTGGAACTCCTTCTCACAGGAGACCAAACTGGCCCCATCTTTGTTGTCCTTCCTCAAGCAGGTCCTTTCTCTTTAGGCAAACTTACCCTCAGTCCCTACGTGTACTCTTTTCAGATGGATTGTTATGCATCACTGCTTTTAGTATTAATTGTGTTTCCCGTTTCTAAGTGTGGTATTTGTCTGTTCCTTTTAAATATTTCTATACTTAGTGTTTTTAGTGTTAAATATAATCTTTTAATAATATACGTCACCTTTGCATACTCATTGTTTTGTTCTTAAATATTGTCTTTTAATGTAAGCTACCTTGGGTCTTTTTCTAAGGAGAAAGGTAGAGTTGAATGAATGAATGAATGAATGAATGAATGAATGAATGAATGAATGAATGAATGAATGAATGAATGAATGAATGAATGAATGAATGAATGAACCTTCGAATGAATGAATGAATGAATGAATGAATGAATGAATGAATGAATGAATGAATGAATGAATGAATGAACCTTCCTATCTCTTTGGTTGCTCATCACAACCTTGGCTACTCAGTATCCTTTCCTTAGAGAAGGAAAAACAGTGACAGATAATGCATAGTTCTTAAATAATTGCCCAGTGTTTCCATGCACTTCCCTTCCCAAAAATAAAGCAACAGTTTTGAGGCTCTAGTTCTAGTTACAGAAGGATGGTGAGAATTCTGGCTTTAGTCTCATGACATGGCCATGCAGATGGGATAGAAAAGTCAGCTGTTCACAAACCTAGTCACAGGATGCTTCCAAACAGACAGCAGTTCTAACTTCACACAAATATCTTTTTGTTCAGATGAACAGAGCACCTTTCAGCTTACAGAACACATTGTTCTATATTCTCTTCTGGTAGAGATGACTACTTTGCTGTCTTTCAACACTTGCACTGAAATTCACTTATTCATATTAGTATGACCATAAAGGAATGTATTCATTTTAAAAGGGAATATTTGGTAAAAGGCAAAATAAAGTAATTTGGGTGTTTTATGAGTAGGTGCTACACTAGGCAGATCTGCATGTTTTCTTCCAATAAGACAACAAAGTTAGCATACTGATATGGAAATATACAACCTGTTCATGTGTTTGTATTGACCTTATTCATAAGATTTATATTATGCCTTTCTTTCAGGAAGCATTCATGGTTCACTTCCTTCCTACTTAATTATCTAAACAACTCTGTGAAGCAAGGCAGAGACAGACAGAGTGACTGACAGAGTTTTATGCATCAGCAGAAACTTGAGCTGGGATCTGTTAAGTCCCAGTTCAGCACTCTAGCCACTATACTGGATGTCCCCATATGGTAGTATCAAACGCTGGCATTCCTGTTCATCACAGTTTTGAAGAGAAGAATTGTTCTGGTGGAATGAGAAATTAATGGTTCTTCTGAGCTAGAAAGATCATGTGAGGCCAACCCCATCTTGGATGTAATCCACACTGAGGCTTAAATATTGTACTATCACAGAAAGCTAAATCAAACAAACAAGTTATATGTCTTAAGCTAAAAATAAATGTACTTACCCCCTGACCTGTACTTGAGCTGTTGCGCTTATGTCAATCTGAAGGTCAACCAAATTACTGTTGGGATTAACCTTGTTGGAACTGAAATACATTTGTGAAAAAGTTAGCTATGTTTCAAATATATAAAACTGAAAACATTTTAACTTGTAACGCTCAAAGCTGTAGCATTTATCATATTAACAATTCTCCTTTTCAGAGATGGAAGAAAGCAGCGCAAGGAAGCAGTCTCTGTCTGGGGTCATAGAGATAATTGACAAGACCTCCATGATCGTCTTCCATTACATGTCCATTTTCATAACACTTATCATAAGGGAATTATAAACTACCTTATCAAAATGATATGGCCATGAAAAGTTTAGAGCAGAGACATGGATCAACACTAGTAGACATTCCTTCCCAATAAAATTGCACAAAAAAGTACACCAACAGGGCTTCATATCTGCATTTGAGCTCACAGTTCCCTCCTTCCCTCCCTTCATTCCATACTGCAACTACCAGGATCCTCCACCCAGTTTGCTAACTGGGAGCTTCTGGAAACTGAAGATGAGAAAAGAAGCATTTTCAGGTTCTAAATCTTCACCATCCTTTGACAACAGCACAACCGTTAACAAAGACCTCCAGATGATCTCTGCACCTCCTAGGAGTACATCTGAAAGTATCACCGGTCTATCTGCTTCCATCTTTCTAAACCACAGCAACAAAATTTTTCCTGCCCACCTTAACAAAATTGCTTATTCTGATCTAGTGATACATTGTAGCTCTATCGTACTTTGTATGCAACATTGGATGCTTTCAGAAGTTTAAAGATATTAACAACCTAGAAGGGCATGTTTAATTGCATGTGAAAATGCATTTGCTGTTAATTAAGAAGTATGTTATGTTTATAATATAAGCACTTATATTGCATTATTATATATCAATATAGCAATGAGAAAATGCATTACTAAGATAACAATCACATTATATATTGTGGTAATGCAACCAAACACAGTCCATCGGAAGATAAACCTTATAATGTGGTTATGACACAGTTCCAAAAGGATGGCAGTTTTTCTTTCAGAAAGTTCTGTTTTAAACCACAAAGAGTATGTCTTTTCTTATCAAGAGATCACTGCTTGCATAGCAGCTGGATCACATTCGAGTAAATAAATTGTCTTGTTTTTTTCAAAAAATATCCAGCTTGTGACTGGGAATAATACAACCAGAACATGACAAATTTATTTTGGGGGCTATAATTCCCAGAATCCCCCAGCTCATATGGCCATGGAAGTACACTCAATTAAAATGTCTGGGTTCTGAAGGATGGAGAATCTTTTAAGGAAAGTAAATTCCTTTCAGGGGTTTTCCTATTTTTTCAAGGTAGGAATGTTCCCTTTCACCTCTTTCATCAGCAATTGTGCTTTCAATTCAAATGTATTCACTGAACAATTTTCCTGCCATAAAAGAATATGCAAGCTTCTAAAATCAGCAGTTATGAGTAGAATTCAGCGATACTCCTTGAGCAGTCCTCAAACGGTGTTTCAAAGAAAGCTGAATGATCACAGTAAATTATTGTTTTTAGATCAACTTGCTCTATGTCCTCAAATCAAATGTTTAAGGACTCTAGAATAATCTGGAATGAAATGGTATGCTAGGGAAACCAAGCATATGAACTGGATCAAAGAAATCAACAATGTGACATAGATAAGCAGGTCCAGATTAGCACAGACACACACTCTCTCTCCCTCAAACACAATTTCTTACCTTCTTATTTGCAATTCAAACTGGATGTTTGACTCGGGATTGTCAAATCGCTGAACAGTAAATCTGATGCCTGAAGAAAACTAGGAATCAGAATTAAGTTATTAGACATGTAAGTATTTCACTGAACTGAGCGTATTGGTTAAAGTTTGAGGCCTCAGGTGGCCTGAAGCACAACCTGGAAATGCTGTTGTCTTTTTATTACAACTCCCCAAAACCACTGATCATGATGGCTATGGCTGTGACCATACTGGCCTCAAGTATCTGGGAGTTGTAGTCTAAAATAGTAAGGTTACCAAGCCCTCACCTCTATTGGGGGTGCTGGTAGTTGCCATTGAGCAGTTTTTTAAAAAATGTAAATCTTACAAAGGCATGTCACTGCAAATAATTGTTCAGGGTGTCATTGCCTAGCCTCCCCACTCTACTCCTTTACCTTACTCCTTTACTGTTTGGGGCCCATTTAAAACAAAAACAAAAACAAGCCTCTTAGACGAGCTATCGAAGATTAGAAGGAAGGAGAATGGCAAAGCCTCGCCTTTCTGTCACACATCAAAGGAGGTCTATAGGAGGCAGTTTTTAGCTACCAAATGTGAGCTTACCATTACAAGCCTGCACATATGTATTAGGTATAAAATGTCAGAAACAGGAGTAGATGGTTGCAAAAAGTTCTAAACAAGGACTTGGATCCAGTTAGTAGATCTCAGTAGAACGACTGAATCATTGTCCAGAATCCAATTGGTGGTTTATGTTTGTTCAGGTGAAATGACATATACTATGTTGGCAAGTTGCCACTAACTAAAAGGATGTACTAGTTGCATTTCTAGGTGCAATGCCTGATTAATGAGTGGCAATTTGCTGATATAACCTACGGTATGCCACAATTTACACAAGTGTAAATCACCAACCAGATTCTAGACAATGGGGCACATGTAAGTGTTAATTTACCCTTTAGCCATTGAATTCAATGGGTATACTCCAGATGTGACTATCAAGTGGATTTTTGACAAGAAACCCAGGCTTTGAAAAAGGAATTGCAGCTTTTCAGAACCTGAATTTGCCTCTGATTGTTCATATAGCTTGGAGGTCTCGAAGCATTCAGGACTGTACATGTGACTCATCTTATATAGGATCAACATCTATCCTATGACTGTCTGCTCTGACTGAGTCTCCAAGCTCTGATCATCCTGTGATATAAATGCAAAGCCTTGAACTAAAGGCCTTCTGCAGGCAACTCAAATAACATGACAGTACCCCATCAATTTATGAAGTTTATATCTCCTGGATGAGTGCACAACAAAGAATCCATATATACTCAGCTCATCTATATCCATGTTTTACCCCACTGAGTTGCACAGTTACTGCACGGTTAACTTATTGCACAATTATTGCAAATCTGTTGTAACTTGAACGGTGTACCCATTGCACTTACTTCTGGCACCAAGGCACATAGTTATCCGGTTGTCTGCAAACCACTGGTGCAGACACGTAACACAGTTCCAATGATCTATGAGCTCCCACTCCACATTAGCCTCACTTTAATGCTTTACTGACAACATAAAACTGCACTCCAGTTGTAAGACACTAATGAGCAGCAGATGGTGTCTCTGTGTGGCAAAGGGTTTTAATGGTGGCTTTTAGTCCTAGATGCTGTTAGTAATAATGGGCAAATGAGGTTCACATATGCCTACAATAAAACGCAACAGAGGTCAATGGAATTTTACCTGTTTACCTCAGGGAGGAGTTCTGAGCTCTCAAAAATCTGTCAAGATAGTTTTACCTTCATGGCATAATTTAAACAATTGCAACCCCATTTTTGAATGTGCAATGAAGTGTCTGAATGTGTGGGAGGGACTCAAGGAAAGACAAGGAAGGATTAGTAAATTCAAGTGTTCTGGTAAAACTATAGTTTGGTCTAGAAATCTTTAAAAGGAAACCTCTGAAAATGTCGCAAAACTTCCATTTGCTAGAAAAGGGTTAAAACTTCATGGCAAATTCTGATTTTAGTGCAGTTCTTCTGGGTTTGCTTTCAATGAAACAATGAACTTCAGTTAGTAAAAAATATGGCCACAAATGCAACTGTGTGGGAGAGATGGGGCTCACAAGGATGAAGCCCTGGGAATTTCTGATTGGCAGGAGTCATGCTGTCCTCTGCCTAGCCCTGTAACCCTTCCACCTCCTTCTGAGGTTAAATGCAGTCATCCAAACAGTTGGGGAAGGGGCAGTCTGTTCTCTCTAATGCTGAGAAAATGGACTCCTAGAAAAATGTTAAGTTCTATTTGTGCAGCTCCATGCACATCAACCCAGCTGGCAGCATTTGGAATTCTCCATAGGCATATGGCTGTGGAGTTTATGATTGATGGCTAGTGCTCGGGAAGTGTATTGACTGGAACTGGATGTTTCTCTTACTCACACATTACACCAGTAATGCACCATCTTTACTAATGCTCAGTTTATTTATGGGATCATAGCTACTCTTTCATGCTGTTGTTATCTTTTCAGAGGTAACCATTTGGAAGGAGTTTGCAAGGGATGAAGCCCAAGGTATATAGAATGATTGTAAAAGTCCTATATTTGTCTGTTTATGAGAAAGCACCACACTGAATAACTTCCATGAGGCATAGTCCTAACTAACTGCACACTGGAATAAATATGGAAAGGCTTTTTAGTCCCCAAGATTATACAGTTTTAATCAAACAATAAAAAATTAAACAAATTGCATGCTTTTGTGGAGAAGTTGAAGCCATGCTGCTTAGCCTGAAGAAGTGGGATTCCTCCATGAAATATTGCAATATGTTTGATTTTTAATGGTCCAATAAAAAGTATCACCCACTCTTACAATTGTGTACACTGGAATGCAGCCCGTATCTCAGTGAAAGAAATCAGACTCATGTACACTGAAGTCTTCAAGTATAACTACTTTTAGAAATAGCTGAGCTGATTCAGGGTCATAAATAAATTAACCAACTAGATTATATGCTCTCTCTGTCTCTCTAATATAGCATAATGTTGCTGTCTATTATATCAACAATTTCCTGCCCAAAGAATGTTTTTAGCTGCCACATATTGACACAAATTCCCCTGATTGAGGTGGTTTTCCATTAACTCCCCAAACAATTCAATCTGATAAAAATCAGCGAATGTTTCTGGTTTTGTCTTACATTTGTTCCAGCTGCCATAGGGTTCCCAAGGTCACAAATCACCATTCTTGTTTCGTTTTCCATTTTGTAATCACAGCTCAGTGCACGTAGTGCCTGTAACCAAAGAACACCAAGAGGGAGGTCAATGGTCAATCCAGAATGTATCCTGTTGGCAAAATTAACGGCTTGTAGACAGCAAGATAGCTGTTGATTTCCAGCACCTGCACAGAAGGCCAATCATTCATTCATGACTAAGGAAGTCACAGCAAATGGAAGGGAAAAAAAATCAGAAATCTGTCTGTACTTTGAAAGAGATGCAAGGATAGGAATGAAGATTACGGTATTTAAATACTATACTATTTGCATCTACTTCTTCAGCTGTAGGTGCAAAAAAAAAAAGTGCGCCCATCTCCAAATAGGTCTCTTGATTGAATCACCCATAATTTCCAGCCCACTTGGCATTGGTGACTTAGCTCAGGAGGGAAAAATAAATTTGTAGAGGCAAAACTGAACTATGTATTTGCAAAGGCTTTCACGGCCAGGATCTAATGGTTGTTGTGGGTTACTTCTGCTATTCTGAATATACTGTAAGAGTTAGTCATTTTGGACTGCCTACGATAGTCCAAACTCATTTTAATGACCTTCAAAATGAGCAAGAAATGTGGGGAACCCACCTCCACCAATAGGGATTGGAATTTGAATCTCTCTCATTCCAGTCCAGCACTCTTAGCCAATCCATAACACTCTGTTCTCTAAACAACAAAGCATCTTAATAACAAACCCTTAATAAATTGTTGCGGGACCACAGAATTCTTAAGACAGGATCCATGAAATCTTTGCTATGGATAAGCTATGGTTACACTAAACCACTGACTTAAAAGTTCTGTCATTGCTGAGAAATCTTTACACTGAATTTACTTAATTCAAGGGATGGCAGGACAGCAGAAATGAATATTTGCACTAGGGAATAAAGACACAGGTCTTTGTAAGAGAAAAATAAGAAGAATTGACACATGTTCTGATAGCCACTTTGGTAGTCATGTATGTAAACCCATCAACACTCATGTATAAATAGTAAAAAGCTAGTCACACTAGCTTTTTACTAGACCTGAGGAACAACCCCCATGAACATGTGGCTTCTTTTACAGTTCTGAACAGTAGCAAAGTTTTACTAATTAGTGGCAGAACAACTTGGATTGTGTTTCAAGTGGAAGTGACTGGAATGTGAATGAAAACGGATAACCTAGTTATCTTAGATTAATGGAGCTGTAAGGCTTTAAATCTGGCAGAGCAGCTTGCATGACAATGATTCATTATCGGCCACAATGTATTTCCCCAAGGTCCAGATATTAATGAACTGTATGTTCGTGGCTGACATTTTAACATCCAGATATTGCAAAAAAAGTTACATGGAACTGTGACCCTAGATTCAATGATGTGGTTGAGGAGCAGGTACATTTAAGGTCCAACAACTAAGGTTTCTTTCATTCTCTGTACTGGCCCCAAGTGAGAAGGGTCTAGTTAACCAGATTTCCAGTTATCACATTTCCAAAATCTGGAGGGGAAAATGGTCAAACCTTTCCAGAACATAACATTCTACTATTCACAACCCTCTGCATTTTGTACCCCCACAGTCTGATACAACAGTGATACAGGAAAAATATTTTTCCCCAAGTTACAGGCCCTTGTTCCCTGGGAAAGTTTGATTGTTGCTCTTCTTGGTTGCTCTTAGACAACAGGCCAAGATGATCCTCTTTTCAATGAGCTTTAGGCTTCCTTCTTTACGAGTTGGGAAGTTGCTTTTGTGGACTATGACTCCCTGAACTTCCAGCTATCAGAGCCACTAGTTGGGGAATTGTGGTAGTTACACAGTGGTGCCTCGCAAGACGATTTTAATTCCTTCCACAAAAATCGTCGTCTTGTGAAAATATCATATTGCAAGGTTCCCTATGGGAACCTCGCAAGACGAATGCAATTTATTCATCTTGCGAGGCATCGGTCTCGAAAAAATGTCTTGCGAAGCATGGTCATAGAAAAAACCATCTTGCAAAGCACCATAGGGATTGCAAAAAACAATTGTCTTGCGGGTTTTTCGCCCCATGAGGCAATCATCTTACGAGGCACCACTGTAGTCCAAAAAAAGAGCAACATTTCCATCTGTGTCCCTTCCTAGTGTTCCCTTTTGTTATTGTTGTCATAATCAATAGAAGAGCTAATCTGTGCTGTTTCTTTCTCTTTTCTTAAAACTACTATTTTTGCATGACATATCATTATGTATCATTTCTAATTATCATGGAAACTCTTAGTTGAAAGCTAATTTATAGGTATTTCAATAAATTAACACCACTACCCACAAAAAGTGTGCAGGTCTTACCATACCTATAGTTGTCCTTGCAGATGATGTACATGATCATCCCAATATAAACAAGCACATCATGCAATTTACAACTTCCTTGTCTTTGCTTTCTATCCTCTCAAAAGAGGACACAGAATTGGGGACTCCTTCACAAATTACAAAATTCCTCTTTTCTGACAGAACATATACTCTGTTTTCCAAAATATACAGTAACTGGTCTCATCTCACCATGCTTGTCTGCCTTCAATAACATAGAAAAGGACTTCACTGCTGTCCTTTCACCTCATCAGGAGAATGGCAGCCTACAATTGACACTAAATAAATAAACAAACAAACAAATATATAGGAGACTTGTGGCACAGTGGTTAAACTGCAGTACTGCAGTGAAGACTATGCTCACGACCTGAGTTCAATCCTGATGGGCTCAGATAGCCGGCTCGAGGTTGACTCAGCCTTCCATCCTTCTTGAGTACCCAGTTTGCTCCATGAATGTGTAGCCTGCACAATAAAATTGTAAACTGCCTAGAGAGCGCCTTAAGCAACATGAAGTGGCAAATAAACAGCATACTCTCTCTTTTTGCTTTATATTAAAAATATTCATTAACTTGTCCATTGGCATAAGTAGCTTGTGGAGAAGATGGGTTGTTCTACTGTATGTTCTCAATCATTCCTGCTTGGTCTTGAAATTTAAATTTAGTTTCATTAGCGGTCTTCATAAAAAAATCCTTAAGCTCCTCTCATGTACTTTGACTAGTCTGGGAAAGCAAATCTTGGAAAAGTTACCTTCTGAACTATAAGTCCCAGAATCCAAAAACCAACATGGTCAAATGTAAACTTTAGTAACTTTTTCAAGCCCCCATCATACATCAAAGGCCTGTTATTGAACAATTTTTCTGGGACCGTAAGTGTTTGTGCAAAAAAAATTGTGTCTAGATTTCTAAGTAATCTACTAATTCTACCTCAGTTTCCTGCCAAAACTAAAAACAACAACACAGAAACAGTTACTGTATCCCTAACGGGCAATGATCAAAAGGTATCAACACAAACATCAGCAGAATTTCAACAAGAAAGAAGTTTGAAACTCAGCAAAACTTGGCTCCCAGCACTGAAAAATACAGCATGCAAAAGGTCAACAAACTCTCCCCAGCCACAATGACCAATGATCACTACACACGATAGACCAGCTAACGACACCTATCAATCACAGTGACAGATAATCTCTCCTCCTTATCACAACAATACACCCACAACAAAAACACACTGCTCACCATAATCACCCTTCTCCTAAAAAGGACAAAAGCTGATCTCACAGCCATAAATACTCAACTCCCAAACAAACTGCACCAGAGCACAGAGTGCTGTCTTCTGAAGATGCTGGCCACAGAGACTGATGAAATGTTAAGAACAACCTTCAGAACATGGCCAAAGAGCCCGAAAAAGCCACAGCAACCAACACTACATGTTCTTACTTTATCAAAGAGATCCAAGGAAACAAGTACTCAACATAGTTCAAAACTCATCATTGGCTCCTACTACAGAGAGACAAGAATTCTGTTTTACTTCAATTCTGATAAGATTTTATCAAAATGTAAATGTGGGAGAAAGCCTCCATAGTTCTTGTGTATCTGCCTGTACAATCAACACCTGTCTTCCCAGCATCCTATCTCCCCTATATGCCAAACTCCATCATCTCACCCTGTGGAAGGCTAACCTACGCTATCCTAATACAATAATAAAAACTTATATGCTGCAATCTCCAAAATTAAGTCATAAAGAACACCACAATATATCGGGCAGTAGGGGGAAAGGGTATTTTTAAAGATGAGTCTACAAAAACAAAACAAATCTCTGTTAAATATAAAATTTAGTCTCCAGGAAAAGCAAGATCTTATTTCTTCTCAACTATTATGGAGGCATATTTTCCTCCCATTGTTGTCCTTTTCTACTGTGAGTTTTATATCAGTGAAACAAGAGCAGGAAGTTATTTTCAGCACAACAAAAATATTTGCTGCAAGAAGGAAATTAACTTGGCACACCTTGGTCCCTCTTTTTTGGGGGTGTGTGTCATGCTTTGAACCATCCAAAATAAAGTTCATGCAGGATCAGCTTGCAGGCTTTGTAGTCAGATGAGTTGATATATTCTTCCCTGTAGTGAACACATACACTGTCTGTGTACTTAGGGGATAGAATTTCATTTTGGCTCCTCTAGAGCTACCCCCTCCTTGTGCCTCCAAAACCTTTCAAGTAAAGCAAGCTATGTCCAGCTCAGTTCAAGCTCCACATGGCCTGCTGAACAGCTACAAACCTTTGGTACACTCATCGGCACCTTAGTAAGAAATCTTCAGGGATGGGGCGAAACTTTGCATTTGAGTGAAGTATTTGTTATTTCAAGATTCATTACTTCAGATAAATAAATACAAATAAGATGTGTATGCAATATTTTGAATTGCAATTGCTCCTCTTCTCAGAGCTTGTGAAAGTTGTCTTGGAACTACAACTCCAATAATTCTCAGATAAGAAGGCCAATGGTCACGCTGGTTGGGTATGTTGAGAGTTGCACAACTTGAAAACAATATTTCCAACTTCTGCCCCCCAACTTTCCCATACAAGGATATTGTACAGATTAGCTACTAAACAGGCTTTGTTGGAGAAAAAAGATGGCAGCCAAACAAACAACTTTTAAACATTACCTTGTTTGTACGCTCAATGCCAGTGTAATCTGCCTCAGGAGGTATTTTTATGTGAAGCTCAGCCTCATAGGCACCTTCTCCTTCATTTCTTGAATTGATCATTAGCATGACGCAGTTTTCCTCCCCAATTATGATCTGATCCCTATCTCTACATGAAAAAAAGTAATTTTTTTGTTACTGTCTTTTTTTGAACTGAGTTATTGCATTCATTTCTGACTTGGAAAGCTATCATATTCTCCCAATGTGAGATGGGGTTTCTACATCCATGGCACTAAACAACATAGCCAGATGATCTTGGTCAAGTCCCTGTCTCCCATTCTAACCTATCTCACAAGCTCGCTGTGAACATAAATTTGAATGAAAGACAAATAATTACAAATGCCACTCTTGGAGGAAGGATGGGTTAAAATGCAATAAAAGTAATAAATACAGGTGAATGGCTTCTGAGAAGCTATTCACATAAAAATTAAAATTATCATGCAACACTTGGTCATTAAGGAGAAGATGTTGGAACACAGCGGACATTGTGATGTTCTCATGACTTGCTATAAAACTTAACTGAAGTCTATCAATCATTCCCCAATAGGGTGAAGGAGTTATGTTAAAGTGGGATATATAATACGGCTAATACTCAGAAAAATTACTTTTTTGATTTCCATATCAACAGTATCCCAGATTGTATGGCTAATAGCTGGGGACAATCCTGGATGTGGGATTCTGAAGTCCAGCCTTTAGGCAGAAGGCCAGAACTACTCTGAGGAATGCTCATATGCCATTCAAAGATGGGCACTCTTATCTACAACTAGTTCCTTCCACACCCATACCTGCACACCCACAACTCGTGATACACTCTGGACAAAAGAGAAGGCTGCAGCCTTGAGGAAAATCAACTGCATGTTTTTTTTTTGTTTTGCTCAAGCACAGTCGCGGAAAATAGTATCTGAAACATCCCTCCCTATTTTTATTTGAAACCGTGGAGACATACAGAGGTGATTTTGTTTGGGTTTTAAAATGTGACAAACCTTTGAAGCCATGCACTTGAGGACCATAAAAAGCAAACCAGAGACATAAAAGCTAGTCTCAGCATGCAGCAGTAAAGTCTTGTCACAAGGGCAGCCCTGATTGGTTCCTCCCTTTCTTTCTCTCCTCCGCTAAGCAGCTTTCTAATGAACACCTTTATCCCATTAAGAGCAATACACCAGTTTATTTGTTCAAACTTACGGCATAGCGGAAAGTTTCAAGTCGGGAATGCACACGTTGTCCTCTCCACAATCCACAAGAATGTAAGCCTGCATTGCCCAAAACATGCATCATTCATGTTAGAGTTTTTTTGAAATGGAATTTCAATCATTTCCTTTCCTTTCTTTTTTGTTTGTTTATTTGATAGCCATTAAAAATATTTTCCCAAAAAGACATGAGCATTCCAAACTCTGAAGCCAATACAAAGGGTGCATATTAGAGGGTGTGTATATATTTTTCCTTCATGCCTAGGCAGGGAATATTATTTACATGCTGCTACATTTAGCTAGAAGTGTGAGAATGAGAACATTTAGAAAATGCCGTCTGGAAGAGTTTCCACAAATTTCAGATAGGACTGGTTTGATTAACTCACCATCATGAACAAATTAAACCCTCGCTGTATATATGGAGGGAATGCTGAAGCCACAGAACAAAGCATCCTATAAAAACCACACACAGCATGACAGTATTTGCATGCAAGGTCCATTACCTGCTCCCCAATGACATTTTCTTGGTAGTAGTTTAAGATTGGGTTCACAGTCAAGTCATGTGAGAAAGCAGATTCATCCAAGCTGTAATTCAGAGTAATGTGGATTGGAGACAATTTATCCCGAAATTCTGTTTCATCCTACCAGGAGTAAATTAAAAGGAAATTCTTTATAATAGCTGTGTACTTCATTAATGTAAATAATTTTCATCTGTTTCAGTAATGAAGGATTAACATCTAGATCCTATGGCTGTCTTCTCTGGATAAGGACCTCTCTGTTCAGTTGGATTAACCCTCATTCTTGCTATATGAGCATGTGTTCAACTGCAGTCCAGATTTGCAAAGTGCGGAAAACAAGTAGATTGTCAGTGTTCCACACTTGGGAAGCAGTTTGTTAAATAAAACAGAACCTAATTTTATTCGGAAGCAGTAATCTACCATAAAGTCTCATCTTTAAAACACAGGTAAGTGTTCCTTCAAATATTGTTGGACTAGAAATCTCATTATCCATAACCACTGGCCATCCACGTTTGGGATGATGGGAATTAGAAGTCTATCAACACTTGAAAGGTCAAGGACTCCCAACACCTGCTCTAAAAAGGCAGATTTCAATATGTTCTTCATTGCCCAGCAGAAAGGGCAGGGTTGTGAATTCATGAAGGCAATTGTGTTGATTTGTTCACCATTGCCCACCATGAACACAAAGTGCACTGTAAGTAATATATATAATATTAGTGGGACACAGACACAGTGCGAGACATGGCATTTTCTTCAGTCCCCATGTCCTTCCAGAAAGGTTTCCTATCAACTCAACCTGCCAGATTATCTGCCTGTGATCTTTTGGCTTGTGAACACCAGCTTCCGACATGTAAGTGTTTCTCTTAATGTCTTGCTTTTTCTACAGGAAAAATATAATAACGAAATGCCAGTGGTTCCCAAAATATGCACCACAGCACCCCAGGGTACCACCCAATCTAGCCAGGGGTGCCACAGAATCCTTGGAAGTACTACTCAGACCGAGCTTCCCCCTCCTTTCTCCTCCACTCACCCGAAGTATCATATTGGGGGAACCATGGCTAGTGGCCAGCAAGTCAAGGGAACTGCAAGTCGAGAAAGTTTGGGGACAACTGCAGTAAACATATAAATGTGTTCCATGGGGGAAAAGTTGTAGCCCTAGAAAGGTACAGGTAAGAACACTCTGGGGGCAGGTTGTTTCATTTTAGCAATTCTATGACATGACAGCTGGAAAAAGGAGAGAACAAGACCATTCTTGCAGCAGACCAAACAGTGGGATAAATACCCATCTGAATGTACCCTAAGTGACTGGGGAGGTGGGGTGTTATAACAAACACATTGGAAACTACAGCCCTAGAACACATTGCAATTTACTCCGAGGCTCTGTACTGCAGAGAAACTGTAGTCAATAAGAACAGAAACAATTTTTGGGGGGTCTGATTTTCAAATTTTGTGTTTTAATTCACTTATTCACTGAAGGAGAAAATGTTCCAGCAATTAATTAGAAAAAACAATTTATTTGCTTAGATACGAGTTCTGGAAATCAGTCACAGAGCTGTACAAAAGGCCCTGAAACAACTGTGGGTGACAACATAATAATAATAATAAAACAATCTCTGAAAACTGGTTACAGACCAGAACTATTTTACTAAGCAAACGTACAAAGTTGGGACTGCAAATCCTGGGATTCTAAGAGCCCCAGTCCAAAAGAGGAAAGATCTTCAGGACTGCCACTGTTTAATTTCTTAGTGGTGAACACCACTAGAAAATCAGATTAAAATCAGATTTTTAAAAAGACCCCATGACTGTTATTCATTTTACTGTCTGTCCTTGTGTAATCAGACACCAAGTACGCCCTAAAATGATTCCCAGTGAAATAATCATTTTCTTAACCTAGCAGAAAAGAACCACTTACTCTGAGATAAACCACAAAGTTCTTGCAAGTGAACCAATTCTGCCTGGATACAGTGAAGAGGAAAATGTGCTGTGATTGATGGTAATCAAGGAAGAGAGTCCGCTTAACTGCTCCTTTGACCTTTAAGGAATCCAACTGTAGTTCAGCTCTCAGAGCTAAATAACATAAAGCAAATGAAACAACATAACTGCATCTGCTCTTTCAAATTCTGCTCTAGATTTACAGAAAAGGGCCCCTTTTTTTTTGCATCTGACAGGATTTCTGTGTTCAGTTAGCTCATATTCATTTTCTTAAATCAAGCTGCTTAAATACTTCCTATGTCCAGAACTTGGAAATTTGATTTTTTTTTCTAACAAAATTTTATTTTGAAAACTGAGTTCTGATATCTGTTTACATGATTATAAACAGAAGAGCACAGAATGTGGCAAAATCTTTCACTGTATTTTCACCTGAGGTTCAGGTGTATTCAAAAAAAGATGCAAACTTGACATCCTCAACAGAGACCCTATTTTGTGTTCTGTTGTCCCAAGAACACAAGACAGGTTTTTCTCTGTAAAGCAACTTCAGTGTGGGATGCTCTCCCAAGAGAGGCTAAGCCAGTTCTGGTTTTGTTGAGCGTCCAATGGGTAACTAACACTGAAAGGTTCCGAGAGCCCTTTATGCCTAATATAGGAGTTTTTAAAATCTGTTTTTTAAAAACAGTGTTTTAAATCTCATCCCCCCCCCCCCAGATTTCAGTCTGAATTTCAGTCCATGGGATATCACTTTTGGAGCTCCGTTGGAAAGAAAGATGATAAATAAAAGCTTTAGGTGAATAATAATATCTCCATATTTTTTCAAGTAAATTATTTCTATGTTCATGTCTTAACCAGGGCTGGCATCACCACCCACAAGCTGGAGGCAGACACAAAGGTCTACCATGGCTACCATTAGCCTCCCTTATGAGGAAGAAAATCCCTAATCCCTCAACCTTTTAAATGCCCCAGCTATCCAAAGAGCCAGGCTGTTGAGCCAGGTGGGCATAGCTGCTCCCACCTTCATTACCCTGCATAACTCTGTGCTTCCCAGAGGTATACTGCTGGGACAATGAACACTGTTACTTCCACCTCAGAACTTGGAACATTTACTTTTTTGGACTACAGCTCCCAGAATCATCCATTCAGCATAGATTCTAGAAGTTCTAAACCAAAAAAGTAAGGTTTTCCAAGCTCTGCTCCTTCTTCACAGCACTCTACTGAGATAGTACTGTGTAGCTGACTTGTGTGCATTTAAGGTATCTGCCAAAGGGTTGCACAGAACAGGTCACCCGGATTTAGGGAGATGCATTGTAGTTCTCTCTCTCTCTCTCTCTCTCTCTTTGTGTGTGTGTGTGTGTGTGTGTGTGTGTGTGTGTGTGTGTGTGTGTGTGCACACACACACACACACAGAACACACACACGGAGAGAACTACAATGCATCTCCCTAAATCTGTATATATATAGAGCACATGCTATTTTCATGCAGATCAGTGTTTTGTTTGCTTTTCTAGTGAAGTATGTCCTCCTTCATGGTGTAAGTGGTTACCCCAGCTGCCCTGTTTTCAATGCGATGGCTTACCATCGTGAATTACTGTCACCTCTCACATATGGATGCATACAAGTTTTAGGAGGATATTGGGAAAGGCCTGCTATATCCAGGCTCACATGAAACCTGGCCTCATCCTCAATTTTAAGTAAATAAAGGAAGAAGAAGAATAGTCAAGATAAGAAGTAAAATCGTATGCAGATGTTCTTGAGAATCGGTCACAACAAAACTAGTAAGACCTGTTTTACATAAACACAAAGAAGATAGGATACTTTTTGGATAACTTTTTTTCATGTTGAGAATGTGACATCAAGGAAGTCAAGATCCCCTTCTCTACCAGTTCCCATGTCCTAGAGATTATCCAATTGTCTTCCACGTCATGGATATTTATACAGCAAAAACATCAGTGTTAATGGAATCCATGCAATTGACTTTTAGAGGTAGCCATGTTAGTCTGTGTTAGAATATCGCATCAAAAACAAAAGAAGAAATAAAAGAAGATAAAATCATTGTGGCACCTTAAAGACTAACTGCTATATTTTAATGGGAGCTTTCTTGGATCACGTTGACTTCCTTAGACATAAGAGAGAGAATGCATGGCAAATATTTATACATGGAATTACAGTCACCTCTAGTCAGGCCTTTTCTAGTCACACAGTGTTAAAACAATTTTAACTATTCAAACAGAATTCAAAGAATCTTGAGTACAGCCATGCCAATGCAAAACAAACAAACAAAACAAAACAACAAACAAACAAAACAAACAAACAAAACACTTACCTATTTTATCTGAAATGCCTGGACCTTCAAAACTCACACAGACGTTTATGGTAAAACTATAGGGAAAATGGAAAAGAGAATTCATTTGCAATTAGGGGCGTACTTAGGGATGTACTCACTTTTGTTGCCAGCGGTTTAGACATTAATGGCTATGTGTTGCGTTATTTTGAGTAGACAGCACTTTTATACTGTTATACAAGCTGTAGACTCACTTCTTTACATTGTAGCCAAGTGTCATTTGTTCAGTGTTGTCACATGAAAAGATATACTAAAATATTTATGAAATGTGAGGGGGTGTACTCACTTCTGTGATATACTGTAGATTTCTTCATTTTTGCAATGATTATGATGAAAGAGAGGCTAACTACTTTCTCGTGCCATTTTAGCCACCTACATGGCAGATAGTGACTGGCCAAACATACCCAAAGATCTTCACAGCTGAGTGGATATTTGAACCAAGATCTCTACCATTCTTAGTCCAATGCTCTAACTCTGACTGAGGTCCACCAACTGCTACAATCCTTTATCACTGGCTATGGGGGACTGTAGGCAAAATGTTCTAACCACTATATCGCAGTGTTCCAAAATCCAAAGGAACAATTATCTCCATTTTCATATTTAGCACACTTATTTGTTGCTTATTAACTTCCTGCTTTCATTCTATTGAGCTACCTGAACTAGCTGGTGCACATACAGCCCTAATTCCCAATCTAATCACCATGAGAACATAATTTATGTTAAATATTTTATATACTCCACTTAGTTGGCCAAATCAGGTTCACAAACCAAGTAACTCTGTAGATAAAAACACATTCAAAATAATAAAATGAAAAGCACTTGGACTGAAATACTTTCCCCCTAGATTACAAAAGTATCAATATTTAATTAGGTGACACTCAAAAGGCTTTCACAAATAACCGCAGAGGATTGGTTAAATCATTATAACAAAGTCTATATGGTTAGAGAAAAGGACAATTTCCTGCTAAACAGAGTTGCTTGGGAACCCATCACTCCTGGCTTATTCCTAACAACAGGCCAATCTAAGCACTCCCATGATTGGAAACTAGAACCAAAGAAGACAAAGTTTTATGCAAAATGAAAATTCCTAAGACTGCGATAAAAGCCTCTATGTACTAAACCTGGAAAACCTTAGGTGCTTATTGTAGATACGCATGTTAGAGATTGGTTTTGCCCAAGATTGTCACCACTCATGTGATTGAGATTATTTTACATAAACAGCAAAACATATAGGACAGCTTGTTTGGTAAAGCCCAATGTCCATTCCTTCTCATCCCCATTTCATCAGCGTTTGGGATCTACAAGTCTTAGAATTCATCACCCATCATGGTGACTTGTAGCCTAAACAGAAACTTTTCCAAGTTCTTTGCTTCATTAAATAGGTACCTGTGCACATTGTAAATTCCAAACTAGCAGTATCAGCTCTGAGTAGCCTGTAATCTTATCAGAAATGTGCATCAGATTCCTCTAATAGTCCACAAAAAAATGAGCCACATTTCTTCCATAGTGCATGACCATACTCAACAACCCCCTTCAGGACAAACAATTTGCCATGTACCATGAAGCAGGACTTTCCCGTAGACAAGGCTCCAAGAAAACACAATTTCTAGCCCATTTCCATTTCCTTGGGAAAAGCCAAGAGATTAAAAATTCAGCATTACAGAAAATGTAGAGAGCAGTACAGTGTAGAAAATAAGGGAGAAAAAGAAAATGTTGACATATGTATGATTTAAAGTTTTACTTTCCTCTACAATTACAGTAAATCTTTATGGGGCCATATAGAGTCAACTGGACAGCACTATAAAAAAGTGGCATTGCCTTATGTACACCCATCCCTAGGTATTTTGCTAGCAGAGACAAAAGGTATGATGGAACACCACCTTCCATTTCATACACAGAAGACAACTAGATTGGAAGCAGAACAGCGCTGTTAATGGGGTGGGTTTCCTCACCACATATGAAAGCAACAGGTAGAAGTGGAGGATAGCTTGTATACAGCTTACAGCTCTGCCCCACAAGAGAGAAGGAATGGCTAAGAGGCTCAGGAGGAACAGCAAGTGCTACTCTTGTCATAGCTACTCTGTCCAGCATCTGATGCCCGATGTTTTCTCCTCCCTCTTCCTAACAGGAAGACCATCTTTGGGCTTATCCTACCAGACTAGTGATGCTATTTCTGGAAACAGCACAAGGGAAAAAACATTCTGAATGGATGCTATGCGTCTATAATACCTACAGTGCAAGAATTAGCAACAATTATGTATCACCAATACATTTAATTTTTTAAGCTCTAGGAGTTCATGCATTCTTTGCACTGAAGAAAATCACCATCCATACAACATCATTTGTTTCTCAAACTCTATTATTATTATTATTATTATTATTATTATTATTATTATTATTATTATTATTATTATTATTATTATTATTATTATTATTATTATTATTAATTTATTTATTTATTTATTTATTCATTCATTCATTCATTCATTTATTGGTACATTTATATCCTGTCTTTCTTCCAAGGATCTCAAAGTGCTGCACATGGCTTTCACCTTCCTCACATTGTCTTCAAAAGAACTCTGCAAAGTAGTCCTCATGGAAAAAGAATGATTTGTCTAAGGCTACATTCTATAATGAAACCACCAATGGAAAATCATAAGGAAATATAAAGAATCTTCACACACAGCTAGGAAAGAATTATGTGTGAAACCCTGTAGAGCTAGACAGGCAATCAGAGTTGGTGATACTAGGCAGGAGGAACCAATATTATGACTCTCAACATGTGCTAACTAATGAGTTTCATGACTCAGTGGGGATCTGCACTTGGATCTCTCAAATCCCAGTCCAACCAGTACATTGCACTGGGTATCCACAAATAACAGTATAACACTTTACTGCATGAGTGTGACCAACTCAATCTGATTTGGGGGTGGGTTGTTGTCATAGGAATGCTGCTTCAATCTCTGCAATTCCTTAGATGGGAGAAATTTCAGGCAGCAGAGGACAGGCTAGGAGCTACAAGTCACAGTTGTAACTTAAACAATATTCAAATGCAGGATTGCATTTTGCTGAGTATTGGTTGCTGCGGATGACACTTCTTCCAAAAGCATCTAGTGAGTCACAAAAGGGGAAAAGACACCTGTCATTATTGTGCTGCTGCATGCTAATTTCTTTCCCTTGTGGCTCTTACCATACCTTACTGCATCATCCTTCCTCATCAGCTTTTCATTTCCCCTCTCTTCCTCCTCCTTACCTGCTGCCCATTTTTGTGATGTCTGACACTCCTATGAGTGGGGACTCAGCAGGCAAAAGCACACCCACAGCTGCCAGAGTTTGTCAGGTGACACACTCACTTCCCTTCGGATAATTCTAGCAGATAGGTGTGGGATTTGTGATTATTCACGATAATGCCATGCTTTGCCATCATGTTGTCATGTTCTTATAGCATCAGAAAAGACACACAGAGACAACTATATCAAACATATCATGAATTCATGGATTTGGCTGTGGGCAGTTTCTCAACCAGTCCTTCAAAATAAGGCAAAGAATTTAAAAATATTTTTAAATATGTTTTTATAACACTACACAGTGGTCTACTGTGGTCTAAAAACAAACCCCAGTTTCCTCTGACCTTCCACTGAGGAGCAGAGGAAGTGTTCAGTTTGTCAATATCCTGAAGTAGCTTGCTTATTAAGCCACTTCATGATATTGGAAATTCCAACCAGAAGGAGCTAGACCAAATATGGTCACTTGCTCCAATATGCCATTTGCTGAGAAGATCACACCAATTGTCATATCACAACTCCATCTTATCCCAGGCAATTTTATTTAGCCTGCACCAACCCACTTCAAAGAGCTGGTCTGACTGTACCCTCTGATGAGGAGCTGATGGAAAGATGGTATGCCTCCAAGACAGATGATACACGTAGCACCCACTTTAGCATAGTAAGGAGTTGACTCACCAAATCCTCAAAGATTCAATGGGCCTTCTCTAATGCAATCCACTATTCTAAGTAGCAGGAATTAGTCCATTATGTAGGCAATGGAAAAATGTGAAAAATGATATACGTTAAGAAAAACATTTAAAAAATGAAGTTATTGCAGAAACTACCAATGTGTCTTTTGCTACTGTGCAAAATATACACAATGTCCATACAGGAAGCGGGGGGAAAGTCACCTAACCTGATGCAGAAATTAGATGGGAGAAGAATGCTTGTGGAGATATCAGATTGCAGTGAGAAAAAAAAACCAAATTTCTCGATCATTAGCTGCTTCACAGCAAAATTAACAGGTTATGTTTTTGGAAGCTGGCACTGAAGTTAAAGAGCAACTAAGAACTGAATGGGATGGACGTATGACCATGATTAATCTACAAGTCTGTAGAAAAATGCATGCACTGAGTATCCAGCTCCATTTATAAATGTCAGTCTGCTCTGCTCCTAATCTATTTAGAAATATTAGAACAATTGCCGGAAGAAAAGAACAGCAGATAAGAAACAACGAGGAAGTCAGGAAGCCCCATCCTACATCTGTGTGGCTTTGCCTGTCATAATAATGTCATATGCAAAGCTGAGATGCTGCTGACGAAAAGGGTCTTGCTACCCTTGTGTAAAGGTCACTGACGAACGGTGACCTTTACACAATCTGCACAATAAGCAATTTCAGCAATACAGACTAGAAATTTCCTGACTAAAGCAACTCCCCAGTGACTTATTTACAAGTATTTATAAAGGCTGTAACATACATACACATATGTGCACAAAGATATGCACATACTATTTGAAAATAAATAAATAAATAAATATTCTTTCCTTTGAGTGTTCTTCCTCTCAAAACGGAAGCTTTACAATGTAATTTTACCTTTACTCATAAGTAGATGAGTATTGTATTCAATGTGATTTACTCGGTAGTGTGTTTTGAGATTGAGACCTTAGATATTGCCACATTTGTCTTCTAGTCCAACACTATTGTGGAATATTCATTGATGTCAAGAATTTGTAGCATAAGTAAATATGAAAAAATAAGCCATACTACACTTAAAGATTCGAATTTGTTTAATACCTCCATGTTCCCCAAGAGATACATTATTTGTATATATATTGCAAACTCTTGAAAATAGTTGTGAAGCCACCAATATTCATTCTGACCTAATTCTCAAAATATCTTGTATTTGGGTATCTTCTTATTGTTCCTCACTTGTAACAGGCCATTATTATCTGAGCATAAAACACATGTGTACTATGTAAATTAGGAAGCTGGTACACAGAGTTCATTCCTGGGGTCTCCTTATTTAATATACAATATCTGAGGGGTAATCTTGTCAGTTTTAAAAACGTGTTCGAAAAGGGAAGCTATATTTGAAACATTGAAAAGGCCTATTCTGTGTGTCATCAACACAACAGTACTGAAAAAGGAGTACTTTTAGCCTGCCTCTCCCAATCATTGCTTTGATCCCATAATTATCCATGGGTCTGAAGAGGAATGGGTTTTGTTCACATAAAACATATGAACATAATTATCCACATGAAGAAGAACACTGAGATATTTGGGTCCCTTGCTCCTGTGAAGACCCTCCATAAGAAGAAAACATTAATTTCTGGCAACTTCAGCAGGCATGTTGACCGGGGGATTCTGGGAACCGAAGTCTGATACAGGAGAACTAGGCACAGGAGAAGGGAGTGCAATGTCCTCTCCATCATTCCTCCCAGCAAACATTATCAACAAATCTGGAGAACCAAAGGTTCTCAGGCTCTGGCATGTTTTAATTCTATTTAAATGAGAATAGTTTTACGTTTTCTCCATGATTTCTACAGGAATGAAGCATGACTAACTTAATTTGAATTCACCTGCTGTTTATTGCATTACATTTTACCACATTCTAATGTATCCCAGGTTTTAAATGAGGTCTGCAGCCTTTTTTTAAAAAAATGTGCAGAAAAACAAAACATGTTTTCTTAATGATACCTTGCTTGGTTAAAACTACTTTACTTTGACTGGATAGTGTCTCAGAATTCACGTCTTCCCAAACCTTTTCTGGTTAAGATGATCTCCTTTCATTCTTTTTATTTTGAAATGTCAATCAAAGGGCATTTTGCACAAGCTGCACAGCTGGCTAAAAGATACAGAGATCTATCCCATGGGGCAAAGGAAATATCTGTCTGCTGGAGATTCCCTAATAATTGTTTGCATATGTACAATGCAAGGTTATAACAACTGCAGAAAAAAAACTGGAGAATGGAAAACTTACAGCTGCTCTTCAATCATTTGGGAAAGGTTGGATTAAATATTTTATAGCAGGGGTAAAATCTTTAGGGAACCATACATTGCAATGTAATGGTCAGAACCGTAACCATCCATCAGGAGTGACGCCTATATAATGTATACCTTTATACACAGCTGTGAGAAAACTCATATTCAAACAGTTCTTTCCCCACAGAAGCCTCTTTCCAGGAAGATGGCAAAACCTGAAAGCAGTTTTGAAGTGTCTGTAAAGGGAGGAGAATGGAGGAACAGCATCTTGAGGTGGTGGAAAGGCTGCAAATACAGGCAAGGAATATCATACTGAACCTTCCCCTGCAACATAAATTCCTTGCAAGTTGAAAGGATACAGCTACCATTTCAGGGAGAATAATTCTAGCCCATTTTTCCTTCCTATGTGCTAGCTTTCTAATTGTATGGATTTAAAATTGTTTTTTTAAAAGAATAACAACAGTGATATCAGTTAAAAGAGATATTCCACTGAAATGGCCCAGCATAGAACACTCCATTCTACCTAATTATGATTTTACTATTACCTCACCTGCACGTCAGTCTGCTAAATAAATAGATGGGGTAGGATAGATCTGATAGAAATTTTGAACCCACTTATTTGTTTTGAGTATTAGAAATGAAGAGTGTTCACAGTCCTTCTTCAAAAAATACTCCTTGTTACTCCAAACATTCTTAATTTCTGATGGGGAGGATACATTTTGTTGCCACTATCATTAAAGAACAGTGAGCCAGAAATCCTTGCCAGTATACTGTACAGCATATAATCCACAGATCTATCTACTTGTAAATCCAGATGTACCTTCTACCCTCCTTTTTTTCTATAGTACTAGAAGACTAGAGTCCCTTCTGAAACAAAGAAATAGGTAGTAAATGGCTGCATCGATCTAGCAAACTAGAGTCCCTTCTGAAACAAAGAAGGAGTAGGTAGTAAATGGCTGCATCGATCTAGCAACAATACATCTGTGTGGTATTTGCTGATTCCTTGAAATTTCATGCGTTGGTGATTTCAAGTGGCCTCAGAGTACAGAGCTACAATATTCAGAGTATATCAGTTCACATAGCTTCCATTTAGGCTTCCATCTACAATACTGTAATATCTCACTGACCTACAGCTGATTTACTGTTCTTGTAAGGAAGATGCTGAATAGCACTTCCTTGCTATTCAAAAGCAAGGACAAATGAAACCTTTATTAGACCACTAAAAGTCACAAATGTACAAGTCTTCATCAGCCTGGGCACCACAGAGGTAGACTGGGCACCACAGATGTAAGAAGTCAGCTAGCTTATTTTTGTAATTTTGTAGTGGTCTTCTAAAGGCATCAGCTGGTTAGATAGCTTAATGTTTCAGGTATCTGGCTAAAGAGTCAGAGGCTGGGAGTTCGATTCCTCAATGTATTTCCAGGGAGAAGAGCCAGCCTGTGTAGCCTTGGACAAGCTGCACAGCCCCAGGGTGCCCCCAGAAGAAAGGAATGGTAACCACTTCTCTCTAGCTAGAAAATCTTGAAAAGGGTCTCTATAAGTCAGAATTGACATCTCTCTAGCTAGAAAATCTTGAAAAGGATCTCTATGTTAGAATTGACTTGATGGCATATGGTTAGTATTCATAATGGCATCACCCACCCTTTTCTTTACAAGGGCCACATGGCTATTTCTCTCTCTCTTTTTTTGTTGGACTTCCTTGTTATATCACTCCAAGAGGTACAAGTGCCGCAGCTTCTGAAAGCTCTCTTATCTTATGCTCTAGCTCAAGCACTACCAATGCCTCTTTTGCCAGTAACAACAGCTCTATAGCATGGAGTCATGTGCCAGGCACAGATGTATGTTATTCAATGAATGCATAGTTTAGATCAAGACTTCACATGATGGCTCTGAGATGGGCATGTGGTTTTTTTTAATGTTTCAGTTTTTCCAGGTGTTACTTGATTGTATAAACTGCACAGGAACTATGAAGATTCAGTATTACATGGCAAGAAGACAGCCTTTTGGCAAAGAAGCTTGTCCAAAGGAAGACCAAGAGGACAAAAAGAGCTTAAAAATCTGAAGGCAACCCCCACTTGTATTTTGCTATAAGTATATACATATAAGTACATATATGTGAAGCTTTCCTGTTCTCATAAATAAGTGGTTTCCTATCTTGGGTAACCCAGGTCTTCTTGGACCGCAATTCCCACAGGCCTTCACTACCAGCTGTGCTGACTGGGGCTTCTGAGAGTTGTAGTCCATGAATGCCTGGTTTACCCAAGTTTAGGAATCAGTGTCTTAAGTGGAGGAAGCAGCTCTGAGAACCACAATGATGCATTTTGTGCACAGAAAGGAACAACAAGCTTTTTATTTAACATTAGTTTTAGATTATCTTGCAGGATTAGAGGAATTCCCCACCCCAAAGCAAGAGGCTACGCTTCAAAAAAACTCAGTGCTGTGACGGTGTGATTCCGGATCAGAATGACTAATGTGAACATGATCTTCTTCATTGCTAGCTTACCAAGCTACAGAAGTCTTAGTGACAGGAAGCTGACAGGTTTTATTTTCTGGATTTATAATCTCTGTGGATAGCAACAGCCGAGCATCCACTGTCACCACCGGTCTTGCTCTGCAGGAGAAGAGAACAAAGGCTCAACACATAGGGAAGAAAGAAGCTAAAAAAGAGAGGAAGAGAGAGTATTTAGTTACTGTGGATGTTAATAACATGTGGGACAACAGAGAGCATGAGTCACACTTCCTGTATTAGTGCATACCATAAATATTCAAACTCCTGGGGGAACATCCATAAAAGCTACCTCCATCAGCACCACATGCATCTTTATAAAGGGACAATGCACAAGTGTCTGGTTTAAATGTTTATGATTAATTCACATTTGCTGTGTTTGTACATATGATTATGATCTATTCTTTGTCCCTCTCTCTCCTAATAGGGATTATCTAAATACATCTGTGTACCCAGAGGTACTCTGATCTGGGTAGGCTTTTTGTTCCTATTGTAGGGAATTAACTAGCACAATCCAACAAGGTTCAAAACCAGAACTTTAAAAGGGCCACATTATACAACTCTAGTGTGTTACAGTGTGATGGCCACAATCTTATTGGGTTTGCACAAAGTGAATTGAATGTTACTGTGATGGCGTATAGTGGCAGTTTGTTGTCTGGACCTGCCAAAAGCCTTACACTGGGGGCTGTAGGCTACAGATGGGTAGGAAGAGTGTTTTACAACTCAAAAACAAGCCAACCAACCAGACTTTCTAAAAGAGAATAGGAGCAGAAGATTGGACCCTATGTAGACACCTCACACACACACCTGTGTGGATTTAAGTACCTGTGGTGGCAACCTAATTTCTTCTGCTTCTTGAGGTCACATAAAAGCAGTTACTGTTGCCCCCAGCTTTGAACCATGGACCATGAATGCATTATGTCTTCTTCTAAACCACCAGAATGTATCCCCGCCCCAGATGCACATAGACCTCTTCCCTGCACCCTGTCATAACTCAACAGCCTTATAATAAAGGGAGGCAGAGAAAAGTGAAAGTGGTGGCAAAGAGGAGGATTTGCAGTTCATCAGTTCTGGTGCTTCTTTCCACTGAGGGTAGTTGGGTGGGTGGGTGAAGCAGGACCCCACATAAGTGAACAAGAAAGGGAAAGAAGGAGGGATAAGGAGAAGGTAATGTGGCAATAGGAGGTTAGAATGGAGACAAGGCAGGAGTGGCAATACTTGTCACATATGTGGCCAAATGGGACAATTTCTCTCTCCTTGTGGTCTTCTCCTCAAAGCAGTGCCTTCAACCTGTTTAAAAATAGTGCTGTTCTTGGGTGCCTGTATGTACCGAATGGTCCTGTATTGCTTATACAGGAGCCTATACATGTAGATTTATTACTCAACAGCCAACACATTCTTTAAAATTCTAACCATGTACTTGAAGGCAATTCCTGGTCAGCTATGGCCACCAGACTACAACTTCAAAGCAAGGCTAAAACAGAGAGTCTGGTCAATGCACATCTGGGATGCAGTGGTCTGCGGTCCTACTCCCCTTCCATGAATTGATTGCATCAAGCTGTAGAGCATATACAAAAGCTGCATCTCAACAGTCGAATATTATCCAGCAAAAGAAAAGATATTCTGCTTTATTTCTCATACATCCTGAACCTGTGCTTAATATCATCTGGAAAGAAGAGATTAAACTTGTTCTTAGTACTCCCCGATACAAAAAGAGATGATAGATCTTAAGCCAAGTAGCCTACATTTCCAAAAGAAGAAGACATTGACTGCAGTAGAAAAAGCAGCTAGAAACAAACATGGCTAGAATGAGGATGAAATGTAAAACAACACTGTTTCATGAAATAAATGAGCATGCATAAGAGTCTTCTTTCCTAATCGACAGACCACAATAGCTCACTAGAAAATTAAATATAATTTGGTCTTTTCTCCAGATCCAGGGATAAAAAATTAGTTGAATAAAATGAATGAAAAATTATAACAAATTGCTCATAATTAGTTTAAAATTAACTTTTTCAAATAGATTGCAGCTCAGACTGTAATATGAGTTTTCCCTCATCCAATTATGTGTAACTTTATTATAAGTATTTCAAAGCTTTTGATCAGCTCTTTCTAGAACAAAACCTTGTTTTTTTAAAAAAAACATTTTGGTCAGGGAAGAGCAAGAATACAGTTTTCAAAAAATTAATCTGAAAGAAAAGTATTAACAATAGCAAATCTTTTATCGCTGGAAAGAAAACAAGTGCAGGAATAGTACCACATACCTGTAAACAACAACTTTTCCAGCTCCAAATGCACCCACAATTAAATCTGAAAAGTTTTAAAAGAAGAAATGTTCAAAACATAGGCACAAATGGAAGTCCCTCACCCCATAATCTAAATTATTGGTAGTGAAAATGAATGAATTTAACCGGCACGCATGTACTTGACATAAGCACATGAAACATCACAGAAACTTTAACATTAAAAAAATTAAAATTCTGTCGTACTCTGCCTTACTATTTAGCTTAAGTGGTAAAGTATAGGAGGACAAGATTAAAGTTTATAAACTAGTAAATAGTGAGAAGGAAGTGAAGAAATTAAAGTGTTCTCTCATAATCCTCAAACGCAGGTCACCCAATGAAGTTGAACAGTAGGAGTTTCACCAATAAGAACAGCTTTAAGCAGCGATACAAACTGATGATGTTCACAGAATGGTTTTCCATTGCCACCACCCTCAGAGAGTATCCATGGGAGAGTATATAAGTAGCGCTTTATGCTTTCCTTCGAAACACTCTCACAGCTTTCTCATACATGGAACAAAGCAGGAACCAAACAGCAGTGACCTTCTAAATCTTTCTCCCCCATGGTTCTCCCTTCCTTTTAATCCTAGCTCTACATATTTTACTCATTATTTGCTTGTTCTCCTGTTGCCATCATTGCTTTCGTATCTACTTTTATCTGCTTCCTTTTATCTTCTGAAGTTTCCTCAGGCCTTTCCTCTGTCCTGATCTTTAGCACACACAAGCATAACCCTTATGTCTTCTCATCCTTTTCCCAGTAGCCCCTTCAAAGTTTAAACTCTTGTATATCTAAAATGATGTTTTGGTCATTTTCCTATGAGATACAAGTCAACTGTATCTAGAGAGTAAGCAAGCAAACAACTCCTTTTATTCATGAAGAATGCTAGATGAGGCTCATGCTCAAAAGTTGCTCCCCCTTCTTGTATGTGATTGAAGGAGTTGGTACTTCTGCATTTTGTTTATTAGGCACAATTTAAATCGCATGGGTAGTGGGTGGCAGTGGATGCAAAAAGAGTCAGAGACAATTTAAGCAACCCCTGAGTAGAAATCAGTCTCATTTATGTTTTGCTAAAGCAAGCCAGTTTTAAAACCCAACATTTAGACATAGTTTGAAACAAATCACAGTTAAGCATAATTAATAAATGTCAGGTTTCAAAACACCCTTCAGTGGTAAGAGAAAAGTACAAGAATCTCTTCCCAAGGTCATCTTCCCACACCACCAGATCCTTTCACATTATGCTCCCCTGGGTAGCAACATTGAAGGAGACCAGAAAATATTCAAGAGGCCGGGCCTTCTTGATGGCGGCACCGTCTCTTTGAAATCACCTCCCAGTGGAGCTACACCTGTCTCTTTCCCTCCCTAGCTTTAAGAGGCTGTTGAAGACCCATCTCTTTCAAGAGGCTTTTGAAGTTATTCACCTCTGTACTGCTGCTCTGCAATGGTGCACCATCAAAGCACTGTGTTGGTCTATTTCTTGTTTGTTGCTATTTTGGTTTCTATATATATTCTCTTCTTTTAATTGCATTATACCTCTGGTTTTTTATGTACAATACCCAGAATAGTGCTGTGCATTAGTACGGCAGTATATAAACAAGCAAGCAAGCAAGCAAGCAAGCTACCATTAATGTCAAAGATCAATCTGAATAAAAAGATTGTTGCCTACAACTAACTGGCCTCCTTTAACAGAGAGGTCCAGAAACAAGGAACAACTCTTGAGAACCTGGACAGGCAAGGTTCAAAGAACGGTTTATTGACCAAAGGGAAAAGGTTACCACCTGGATATTCCACACTGTGCCATTTTCTTGCATTTAGTATGTATTCTTGTTTCAGAATCTTTCACGGGCCAATTCAGTTCCACAATTAACTTTTTTTAACCTCCATCAGCTAAAGGATATCTTTAAACATTGGCAGTGCCAAAAACATTAATGAGATTTTTAAAATATATATATATATATTCTGAATTCTACAAAAGAAAACAAACAAAAACAAATGTCCAAGCTGTCTACACTAATTGGAGTCTGGCAGTCCCATTATTCTAAAAATACAGAACAGTTCACTCATTACATGCATGTTTCTTTCCAGAAAATACCAAAGATACAGTCTTGCCATCTAAAAACAAAAATGATTAACACAACATACAGACAATTTTTAGTAAAATGAGAAGAGATAGCTATCTTAAATTAAGTATCTAAATTCTTTCCAAGTAAAACCTGAAAAAAGCTGCACAAAATTATATTATTTATTTACTGGGAATTTTATTTATTTTTTCTTGTAAAAAATTAGGAACAAATAAATACCCATGGCATTGATTTAAGTAAGCAGTTTTCTGTAAACTATTACTAAGACATAACTGAAGTTCCACAAAGTTTGGACTTGACATTCCAGCTCTGAATTCCAGCCATGTATTTCTGCCTCCCAACAGGAGTAATCATCTGCTCTCCATATAGATAATGAATAATGCCTATTGTTGGCCGTAGGGATATGGCTGACTATTTAAGAAGCAATGAAATAACTATGAACCACCTTCTTTTAAAAAAGCCTCCCATCAAATATGTTCCCTGAAACCTCTCATCTATCTATAGTAGAGATCAGAGACATTAAATGAACTGGTATGACCCCCCATTTGATGACACAAGGACACCACATGTTATATTGCTACATGATCACAGTGTTCTCAGTGTGTATGCTATATCTGAGTGTATAAGACCCAGCTAAACAGGCTGCTTTTGGGAGTTGTGGCAGAGCAATAAAGACAAAGTCACCAGTTAGCTTGATAGCTCAAGCTAACTGAGGTATCCAGCTAAAGAGTCTAGGGTTGGGATTCACTGTCCTCACTTCACTCTTGGGTGATGATGACCCATCAGCATATTGCTATTTCAGGTTTTACTGCAGTAGGAAACTAAGAATAGTTAGGATTTTGACTACAAGTGACCATGTTGACTAGAGCAGTGGTCCCCAATGTTGGGCCTCCAGATGTTCTTGGACTACAGCTCCCAGAAGCCCTCACCACCCCTTCTGCTGGCCAGGATTTCTGGGAGTTGAAGTCCAAGAACATCTGGCATTGAAGGACCTTTTGTCCAATTTGCAATAGGTGTTGCTTTCCTAAATGTTGCTAGTGTTGTTAACTCACTGGGGTGTTTTAGGAACGTCAATATAGAATGATCAAATTCAGATTCAGTCCAAACCTGCATAGTGGAACTTATGGAGGAGTTGGCTCATCAAATCCCCATTGATTCAATGGGTCTGTTCTAGTGCAGTTTACTACATTAAACAACAGGATTTTGTCCATAGGATTTACATGGTTATTTCTTGGCTAGTTTCTGACTCCACAGAGTTTGGAAACATCACTTTTGGGGATTAAAACTAGCAGAATCTTTCAATGCTCCAGGAGTTATAGGCCTAAAAAGTAACTTTTCCAAGCTTAGACACCACCAGAGATTTTTTTTAAACTCTTATATGTCACAGCCATGGTGAGATGATGGCACTTGTGGATACAGAGAGCCAATTAGATGTGTCAGTAAATTCACTTTTAGAAGCTGATAGCATTCAGATTTTGAAATGAAGCCTGTGTTTATCTCTTGATGACCAATGACAAACCAAAACAAAGTAATTTGAAAGATAAGAGAGGTGAGAAAAGCCATGCTGATATAAACAGACATAGTTTAACAGTGCAAATGCAAAGCTATTCATCTTATGCCATTTGACATTAAAAGCATGGCATTTCCTGATTCCTGTCATTAAATGATGAAAGATGTGTTCAGTTTTGAAGTGAGTGCAAGATAAATATCACAAAAAATTAATAAAAGGCATCCTTGTAAGAAGTAATGGTAAGAAGCAATGGCATGTTTCTCAAAAGAGTGACTAGTCAGGATATGGACCATAGTTGCTCAGTCAGCCAAGCTAATTTACCACAATTAGAAAGTAATTAGACCCATAAATTCACATTAGCAATGCAAAGGTTAGGCACAGCCTATCCACCAAAATCAGCCCAAATACAACTAATCTTATTTGGTTATGAATAAAAAGGTGTATCTGGACCTCTCATTCCATATAATGGCTACATATACTATAGTGCCCATGGAACTTTGTAAACTGGGCCATAGCCAAAAGATGAAAAAGAATTAAAGGGCCCACTGAGAACAACAGAAATCACCTCCCTCTTGTACAGATAAAAGTCATCAAAAGGGGTTCTTCATTTGATGGAAGTGGTGAAAGGGTCCTGGGTCCTGTGAAACCTTCTGGAGCAGGTCTTTCAAGAAGCATGTAGAGCTGTGGTGAAACAGGAGTCCCCTTGCTCTATCAATCAAACACTACCATGACAAAATATCCATCCCAGTTTTTAATTGTTCAGATTAAAAATGCCTTCAGAGAAAGAGCCCATTGAAATGCCCCCTACAATTTTTCCCTCCCCAACTATTATTCTCCCCAAATTGTCAATGTTCCTCTGATACATGCATAAGGTATAGATTTGATTTCTAAACAATTTGCCAAGCAAGACATTTCAGGGAAAAGGCTCTAAAGAGTAAAGTGGATTACATTCTTCAGAAACGAGCTGCTCTCTCTCTCTCTCTCTCTCTCCTCTTTCCCCCCCCCCCCCCCAGCTCTTCAGCACACACAACAGCAAAGTTGGACAGGATGGAAATTAAGCTATTTGCATTTGCTGCATTTTAGCACTTTGCTAAAAATCTGATACAGAACATAGTAAAGTAAACAAACAAACAAACAAACAAACAAACAAACATGCTGACTTGAGGTTAAGATTGCTCCAAAATGTTTTGAATGTTCAGAACTGAAGAGGAAAATCCTGAAACCAACATAATCAAAACATTCCACTTGGGTTCTTCCTAAGGATAGTTTTCACCAAGACATTGGCATCAAATTATTAAGCAAAGAGAAATAAATTTTCTTCTAAGTTTGTTGTCGCTGTTAATTCTGACTAATGTATCTACTTAAGTTGTTTAAGTTCAATCACAACTTGAAAGATTGTATTTCAAATACTTAAAGGCTTCTATCATCCATTTTCATTA